TCCGGCCAGTGCCTCTTCCCGAAACATCGCGAGTTCGTACTAGTCAAACAGCTTCTCATTGACGAAATCAACCGTGAGAAAGGCTTGCCTGGGAAAAGTTTCATGAGGGCTTTGCAAGCCTTGTCCAACCGCTGATGCTCTTGCTCTTAAATAAGGCGAGCTTCAGCTTCATCTGCATCGTCTCTACCGGCAAGCGCGTGTGATGAACCGTAGGGCTTCCCAGAAACATTTTGCGCACAGGTTTGTTCTGTGCACGTAGCTGAACGCAGAGTTTGGAAGGAAGCGTTCGGTAGAAGGCATTCTGACCCCTTTCGTTCATCAGAGTCCCTAGCAGCATGTGAACGCACCTTCTGTTTTCCAGCTTTAAGTATTGGACAATGTGTTTCTCTTGAACACACGATCAGGCCCCCACGGCGTTGATCGTCGATCGATCATCACAGGAGCCTGTGCGCTGGTTAAGGTCATGCGCCCGGTTAGGATGCTGGTGATGGTCATCACCAGCTGCTGTGCGCTGGTGATGACCATCACCCATCGCTCCGTTTTGAGCATTCGCATAAACTGGTGTCCCATCTGACATGAGAACACGGATCTCCATTGAACCAGCGTGCTTCCGGGCTGTTCGCAGGTGTGTGCACATGCCGGTGCCGTCTGCAACGCTGCAGAAGCAGAAGGCTACGGGTGACCCTTCGCTCGGGTCAGACACGCGTCGCAAGGGCGCCAACTAAACCCTGCAGATCCCTGCACCATGTGTGCAGTCCGAACAAACCCTTAGCATGTCACCCGTTTCCTGCGATGGTGGAGGCAATTATTTTCGGCCCTCGCCACGATTGCTGCCATGTCGTACCTCCGACTCTGCTGATCGCTGAGATATTCCGCTGCTGTCTGCCTGGCTTTGAGGCTCGGGCAGTATAACCTCCTCCCTCCGCGTCACCTCACGCGCCTATGTGTTAACGCTGGCCGGGTCCTCCGCGGGCGGCGGGTCGGGGCCATCGACTCGGTAGTTCCATGTGACGTTAAGGAGCTCTTTCTCTCAGGGGCCAACAGAACGACGAAAAGACGGTCGCTCGCGCCCCGCTTACTGCGAATGTCGACCGAATGTTTAGTTATGTTCATTGATTATTGCGTTTAGAACATCAACAGGCATTCGCCATTCACTGATTGTTCACAGTTAACTATACGGCTAAACATTGGAATGCATCTTAGCATAAAATCAATATCCGCCTGCGCATCCGGCACGCATATCATACAGCATGCGTGCAACATACATCAGCGTACCCAGTAACACAACAACCAATAAATGTTTCAAAACCGCGAGAAAACCCTCGAAGCTTCCCTGGTGAGAACAATAATGGCTGTGAAAAAGTCCACTGCGCGAAAATCATAGGCAACATTCCTTACCTGCGGAGTACGCCATGAACAGTACCGCCTGGCTGCGGAGCACGCCACAACAGACTCCGCTGCGCTGCGTTCACCGTGGAGTGAAGCTCTGTCCAGATGGGTCAGGCTCGAGTGACGCCACTGGGAGCATTGGGACCAAATGCGGTGAGCAAGTTAGGAGCACCAAAGTCTTCACAGGAGACGCTATGTTGAAGCGTGAGGCTAAAATGAGCAGACATGGCGTTGACTGAGCTCACGTTAAAATCAATTTGACGAGTATGGCAGTCCAGTGCAGGAAAGAGTGATCCAAATTGACTACCGACCGCATTGCAGGTTTTTGGAAGACTGCATTGTAATCTTGTCAAGATAGCTCAGACTGTTCACGCGATGAAATTTCACGTCTTGCATGAGTTCTCTAGGAATCCGATATTTATATTATATTACAGAACGGGAAGAGCACCATGTCCATAGCTGCACATACTCCATGTGATAATAATATCTATCATGCGAACAAAATATTGCGATTATGTAGTGTCATATAGTTTGGATACGACCACGCCCACACCAGACTAGCCTCACTGCACCGCACGCGCCAGACAAGCTCCACTGCACTGCTAGCGCCATATTAGCCCCACTGCACCGCACGCGCCAGACTAGCCTCGCTGCACCACACGCGCCAGATTGGATCCACTGCACCGCACGCACCAGAACAGCCCTTTGCACCACTCGCACCAGACTAGCCCCACTGCACCACCCGTATCAAACTAGCCCTACTCACCGTCCACACTTGACTAGCCCACTGTGCTACCAGCACCAGACTAGTCCCGCAATTAGCATTAACCGCTGATGGGACTGGGCCTGTATGGAATCGAAAGCTGGCCTGTTGATGTTTCGGACCCGGACTTCATGATTTCATTCACTTTGCGAACGGTACAAATCTAGGCTGAGACCCATGCATTCAAACAGGGGAGTCGGCGTAGTACTAGAAAAGTTCGTATAAGGAATCAGACTCAGGCTCCTAAAATCTGGGACTTGGGCTCGAACAAATTCCCAAACACAAAACCAACGAAACATAGCTCTGACTTAAGTCACACTCGAGACGAATCGGTCCGGCAATGCGTGCATACACGTACGCTTTGACAAGAGACATGTGCTTACCCCGATGGGCTAAATGCTGGCTGCGCCTGAGCAATAGCTGAGCATCTATGCCACACATGACATTTTTCCCTTGGAAAGACGCTTTAAACCTGACACCTTAATCTAAAATCCGCATTGACCGGCAATAAGGTTTTCAAAAAACTTTGTCCTTATGGCAGTAGAAATTGGTTATCGCTCCTTCGGTAGAACATTTAGGTTCAATGCAAATTGACTGGGTTCCTGAAAATATTGTCGAATTGATCATTCCAACGTACTCCCGGACGGCAGACCTGTGCGGGCTACCTAATCATCCCGGACAGTAGGGCTGTACGGGTTACCAGATCATCTCGGATAGCGAAGCCGTACAGGTTACCAGTAACTCATCAAAAGGGGATGCCCCTCAGGCCGATTGCTTCACCTTGTGGAGTTCCTGCAGACAAATCAAAGTGGCTTTAGGACGCATTTTAACCAACCCTTAGTCTTTGCGCCAGCCCATGTGAATAACGCCCACCATTATCTGAGCCTAGTGAAATATCAGTATCAGCTTTCGTCTGGCCTCCCATGCGGCTACGCCGCGACATCCCCATACATAAGACTTGCCTTCAACGACGCTCTGCCCCGACCTCGACGTTTCGTTTCTCCAATCCAGTAAGTAATATCGAGGTGATCCAATCCAGGAAAAACACCTGCTGCAGCCTGGAACGAGTAAACCGACAACAGACGAGAGCTCTGTCAGTTTTGACCAGCCTGGCAAACACACGGGTTGAACAGTGTTGGTATGCGCTACAGAGCTGAAGCTGGGACTTGCGCTTACGCCGCACAGTTGGTTCTACATTACCATCTGCGCTAGTTTCTGCGATCTGACATGAGCCTTAAAAGCGCCTCAAAATGAGCGGATCCATAGTTCGCGCGCGGGAGCACGTCATCATCTGCACACATGAACGCTTTCTATGCAATTACACGTCTTCTTCTCTGTCAGAATACGTCAGTATCGTGACACATAAACCCAAAAATTTCCAGAGACCGCGCTGGCTTTGACCCGTTTGCCTCAAACATTTTGCAATTTGAAAATGTTGTTTTTCATGTGAACACATTGGGGAGACGCAATCGTGGTTACGTTGCGACGTTGCAGGAAACCTCGCCCCAGGAAGCGAATGCCATACAAATTCATAGCAACTAGATAGACAAGGAACAAAACTGACGTAGCACAACCTAAAAATGAATTCTTGTTGTGGAATCTGCAGGAAACCACTACGATTGGTTGCAGGGGTTGTGGCTCTCCTGGAGAGTGCGACGGTCGGGCTCGGCTGAGCGGCGATGGAAGATGGAGCGATGGAAGCAAGGAATGTGCACTTCCAACTTGTTAAATTATGTCATCCGCTAATGCAGCACAGTTAAGCAAACAATAAAACGCACCTTCAAAACAGCATAGAACACACGCGCACACGACCAAGAACGCACGCATGTACGCACGCACGCACGCTCGAATGCACGCATGCAATCACGCACGCACGCACCATTGTACCCAACCACACACAAAGCATGCACAAACACAGAGATTACAGCCGAGCATCCATGCTTTGCATTTCAAGGCTTCGGGCCTTTCTCAATTGAGATGTCGCGAGAATTCCATAATTGCCTGAGTGCGGCACCATTGCTCTAAGGCATAGAGCTAAGGAGCTGCTGTGTGTAAACGTAACTTTGCGGTGTGTGCAATTATGAAAACCAGATGCAGTTCTGATGGTTGGTTCTCCGCCGACAGCCTCATCACTCACTAATGTCAGGCACCAAATGAATGCACGACTTGAACGAATGCTTCGATATGATCAACGACGCCACTAGGTCAGCAGTGCTCAGTTTCGATGCGATGATGAAAGATGGGATGACCCAATACAAAGTTGGAGTGGTTTACATGCTTGCAGACATGTACCTGGATATTAAGGGTCAGTCTAGGATCCCATGAGGCTCACTGCTAATGGAGTCCTGAGGTCGGATCCTGGGGCCTTTTTTGGTTTCCTGGCACATGTCGACTTACTTGGAAGCATCAAAGCGTTATTGCACATAAATACCCGAGATAAACATCTCCAACGGACACATTTTTCTGACAAGGCAATGCTTGATTCCCGCATGCTGCAAAAGCAACTGATCCGATTGCCACCACCACCACGCGACCCGCCCGACTGGGTGGCCCGTCGAAGGCGCGGCTTGGGGGCCAGAAGGCAACCTCATCTCCGTCAGAAGGGAGTTCTCAGCTTAGAGCTGTGTAGAACTTGGACAGACACAAGTCGTGAACCGTCGCACGCCACTGCTCAACTGCGCCGGGCATCCGCCGTCGCCGGTCCCGCCGCCGCCCTCGCCGTCTGGCTCGATCAGTAGCAGCAGCCGGCGCCGGTGGCGGAGCTCGCCGTGACCCGGAGGCGCGCGCAGGCCGGCGTCCGGCGCGGCCCGGCGCGGTCACTCAAACGTCGCGGCGTGTCCCTGCCGCCCGGTCGGTAATTATAGCGTCGGCAGTCGCCGGCCCGCCTCTTGGCCGCCGTCCATCGCGACGCGCACGGCCGTTTGGCGGAAAACGGGAAACCGAGAGTGATCGGTCGGGTCGGGCCGGAAGCGGCCGGAGCGGCGGCGGCGGCGGCGGCGGCGGCGGTGTGCCCGAGGCGGTCCAGGTGGTGCGGCTCCAGCGCAGGCCGGCCCCGGTGCCAGGTGGGTGTCCGGCCAGCTTCCCGAGCCCGGCGGGCTGGCCTGTGACGGAAGCGAGCTGGCCGAGCGGGAGACCGATGGCGAGTGGTCGTGACGGCGGCACGTGCAGACTGGGGCGGGGGGAAGAATAAGGAGTCGGATAGCGGCCGGCGCTTTTAATTCAGCACCGATCTAAACGCCATCGATGCCAGGAGTGCGTCCACAATGATGCACTGCAGAGCAAATGAAGCTACGAGTGTCCGGTACTTTAGCGCGCATTTTATCCTTGCAGCATTAACCTGAAAGGGACTTAGAGGCTATCATTTTGAGGGATTTAAACTCTGGAAAACAATGTGGGACTGCTAGGAGCAAGACACTTTGGATGCTGGGACTAACAGGAATGTATGTTACAAGAGAACGAATGTTGTCAAAAGTTGTAGTTAGCTTATGTCAGACCACACCTACAGTATTGTGTACAGGCTTGGTCACCATGCCTCTTAAACGATGTAGACAGGCTGGAAAGAGTTCAGCGAAAAGCAGCTAGGTTTATGAATGGAATTGGTAACTTAGAGTACAAGGATAAGCCTAGAGCCTCATATTTGTATTCACTGAAATATCGTAGACTTAGAGGAGATCTCACAGAGGAACTGATGGCTATGAAAGTGATATATGAGGCAGACCTACGTAGAGCACTGGAAATAAGGCCGAGACTTGAAGAAACTGACTTCATTGTGCAAAAAGTGGGAGCAGAAGCGTGAAGGGGCAGATATCATCATCAGAAACCATTTGGACAAGTTTAATCGGTCTGAGCATCCCATTTTCAGCTAAATTTAGGCAGGTCAGGCGGATAACTTAGTTTCGAGGATGTGTGCGGAACCCGAGAAAGACCAACCTCAATGGGCCCTCGTGACTTTCCGTCGGCCAGATGGCTTTATGTCTTTATGTCTTTAAAAGGCGCGGTGCCCCCTGCCGGGAAATGACTGACACCCGAAAATATAGAATGGGTTGCGAAGAGATGTAGCAGTTACGAAGCATTTGGGAGAATTTAGTAGGGGTATGCACGGTACAATAACAATTAAATGGGAGGTGCTGTCTCTCCCAGAACCATGAACTTGCAATACATTGTGATGCGGTGTTGTAACCGATGTCATAAAATCGTGATGAGACAGCTTTGCACAGCCTGTGTTGATCATCATTGAGATTTGCGAGGGAGATCCTGGACATCCCTCCTTGTCATCTGTATCCATCCCCAATCTATCTTTATCACAAATTGCAACAAATGCACAGACGGCACACCAGTTTATAAAGCTTTTAGTAAAAATCTGTGTGTTTTTGAGGTTTTGAACATTCAGTGACTTCGTAGGTCTGTTGGCACAATGTATTCCGGCAAATGTGACGCTGCTTACCATCACGTGTCGTGCGTGCCACGTACAAACGTGCCCCAATGGCTTAGCATGGGAAGCTAAAAGTTCGTGAACTGCTCACAATGGTCAAATGATGGGCGGAAACTAAAATCATACTTTGCCAACGAGGCATTGCAGCGAAACGAAATCGGCACATTTCGACTCGGCAAGGAACGGTCGATCTCGCCGGTGAAGCGCGAGTCGATGTCTGGGCTGCGTACATGCCCTCGCGCAAACTGCGATTGTGCAAAGATGTCAGGTCTTGGCAGCCCGGACAGACAACGACAAGCAATCAGCTACATGATACATACGCACGCACCGTGTACAAGCTACCCACACAGTCCAGGAATCTGACCGATGGCGACACCAGCAGGCAATCGGGAAGCGATCGGCGTTTTTCGAAACCAATCTTATACAATAAATGGGAACTCCGACGTTGGGCTGCTAGTAACTCGAGCCCCGTCAGCGGTAGAACCCAAAGCCTTACATGTTCTCAGTCAGCGTAGCGGAAGGAAGGTCTATGCCGGGAGTGTAGTTTCACGACATGATTTAGAGGGCTGAGCACTGAAAATGGATCAATTTAAACCCAGAATACGCCCGCAGACGGGTTTCTCCCCAGATGTAGCCTGTTTTGTCCTCAAAATTGGGGAGGGGGGGCTGGAGGGCGGGAAGCACGGGCTGAAGCCCCCCCCCCCCCCAAGTCAATACGACACTGTACCCCAGGTTTATGTAGCTTTGTTGTCCAGATCGGACAACTGTGTGATGAAGGGCGAGCAGACCTGCCCTATTAAGTTGGCAATGGCTGACGTGATTTGCTGCGTTTGACATAGCGACAGTACGTCTCCCTTTTCCCCGAGCCGTGGCATTACTGGTGTCCTTGAATAGACCAGGAGTCAGGGCATACAGTGTCATCCTTTACCTACGTGGAGGCGTGCAATTTTGGACATCAGAGGTGCTGCAAAAGAGCCCATTCCTGGGTCGAGATGGTCGGCTGCGTGTTATTTGGAATTATCAGAGCAGCAAAAAACGTCAACTACCACGTGCCATCCGATTGCGGATTAGCCAGCTTTGAAGGTAGGGTAAAGCTTCACAGATAGGGTGAAAATAATATTACGTGTGATGTCTTTTGCTGTGAGCATAAACAGCCCTCGGCTCCGGGTTTTCCGGCGTTGTGAGTTCTGTTGTCGGAATTAATCGGCCTTCACTATAACAGAAAATGCTGGATAAGCGACGTCAGCTGAAAGACTTTGATATTCCTGCTGTCACCAGGCACACCATTAACACTCGCAACCATAAGCATCGTCTCTAGCGTCGAATTGTATTAATACATACATCCTTCTTTGCTTCATATCGCCATTTAAGTTGGATTCCCTGGATGGTCAATCATATGCAGCGTAGCGATTCATGATATATTGTTAAACAGACAAACGGAAATGTCCATAGTGTCGAAGGGCGTTCCAGTTCCCAGCATGAGCTCGCCCATTTTCACAATGCGTCGCGTATGATCTCAGTCACCAACTCTCCCCTGCTCGCTGTCTGGAGTGGTTAAGTGCATCAGAAGAGCACATCAGTTCCGTTCAATTCAGTTTACCTGGAGCAATCCACGGAGTGGGTTGTGCTGCTTCACGTCAAGATCAGGGACACACTGCACCTAGGCTGGTTGTCACGCAGGACAGCCAAGTGTCAACTTTGTACAGTCAAGCTGCAATGTCAAGTTGAAAACTAACAACACGCCATCTTGATAAAATACAGGTCTCGACGACAGGCTCTCCTGGAATTTTACGCATGGTTGTCCTAGAAGTGCTCAGCGTGGTAAGGGTGCCGAAAGACAATGGCAGGTGCTTCCATGCAGAGGCCGCACAGTAAACGAGGACGCTCTGTGTCCAAGCGAGCTTCCTCCTACGAAGGTGAAGGCTGCCCCTGTCAGAGGTACTTGTTTCCCGGGAGGACACGGCAGCCCGCCTTGTAGACGGCGCTCGGACCGCGAACGGCGCACTCTTCCGTGGCAATGCCTGAAAACCTGGGCCGAGTCACGGTGGGCCACCAGGGTCTCGACTTTTGGCAGTTCAAGAGCGTTTAGAGCTGAGGTTATGTTGTTTTTTGTATCCGGTAATGATCCCACCCGCGAAATTGATTTGAGCCTTTACAAGATCTTTGCATTGTATGCAACCGGCTCTTGGTATCCCCACCTCACACGCAAAGCAATGCATGACATGATGAAATACGTACGCATAGATAGGAATGTTGGTGACTTCGGTAAAGAAGCTTCAAAGCGACAAGGATGGCGTTGCATTTTTGAGCTACACGCATGAGATGTGTGCCTCAAGGTGGGACGGAGTCTACCATAACGCCTAAAGTTTAAATAGATGATAAGTGAACAAAACGAAAATCATCGGACCAATGATCGAGCCCTGGGGCACGCCGCACAGCACCGGGAGAGCGAGCCGTTCGCCCCGCACGATATGCTCGCGACCATTGAGGTAGCTCTTAAACCAATCGATGCCAATTAGCCATACCAAGACGGCTTTATAAGGAGGACGTCACGGCCGAGGCTGGCGAACGCCTTCGAGAGATCGATCCCGTCACCGACATCATCCATGTCGATGTTTGTGACCAGGCACCGGACAGCGCCGAGCACGGCTTCCGCAGTGGAGTGACATGGCCTGCATGCTACGGGGGTGAACTCAGTAAGCTGGTTGAGGGCAGATAGCTTGTAGGTGGTTACAAGCTACCTTTTTCGGAATCTTAGAAAGCACACTGAGTGGCGATAGAGGCCTGCTGTTGGACGGCGCGGCTGCGTTGCCAATTTAAGAATGGTTTCCACACACGTCGCCTTCATTTGGTCGGGAAATTCCTCTAGTCGTAAGGGATAGGTTAATTAAGCGCAAAAGGTGAGGTCCAACTGCAGCAAAACGCTGCCACGCAGCCGCGAGTGGTACCTCGTCGAAACTCACAGCACACGAGGGGCATTCGTGCAATGAGCACAACGAGACGTTCCCGGCAGCGTCGCCGGCTTGAACTGGGAGCCCGCAGCGCGGAAAGTCAATAGTCTGAGGTCTGACGGCCGGTGACGAATGTACTGCGCAGATCCGTGGCGATAGGAGCCTCCATAGCGGCGAAGGAGTGGTTTATCTCATCCGCCACTGCCGCAGCCTCCTTCGGGCTGTGGCTAGTGTCTGGGTCATCATGGCCAACCTCTAGGAGGTCGGCTAGACGCGACGGCGGTCGCCCGACGCCGTCACAGAAAACCGCGTCGCGCTGCGAGGTGGCGAGACTTCACTTGGCTGCGGAGGCGCTTGAAGTCGGCCTTGACTTCCATGGTGCACGGGCACAGGTGGGGTCGCATGCATTCCCGCCCAGACATTAGAGCTGGCAGGGCCGTGCCGTCGGCCAGCAGTACGGTCCGGACACGCGCACCCGCTGAGGTGGGCGGCGGGTGTCCATCTCGGCATTCCCCACGGCCGTGCAGTGGTGGGAGCTGGCGTTGACCTCCGTGCCTGTCTGAGGAGAGTGGGTCAATATAGACGACACCCCAGTGCACCCGTCTCCAGTCGCGCACCGTGCGTCACCGCGTAGCGGGCGGCAGTCTGTCGAGTGGGCGGCAAATGACGCCCACCGCAG